AATAATTAGCTGTATAATATATTAATGTGATCGTCATTTTGGGTGGGACTCTATTTACGTTGTGTTTATTTAACAGATTCTTTTGTTTCTCGAATAGATAAATGTTCTTTAATCGTGGTATAAGACGAAGATAATGCCAAATTACTTTCTTATTAACTAATCCCTACTCGCTTGAGACGGGCTCAGAGTATATAGTATACTCTCCCAATCACGCTTGTAAAGGGTACACAATGTAATTTATAAAAGTAATAACTCACTTGAAAAGGACTCACATCAAATTTACAAGTTATTCGCTCCCCCACATTTAAAAAAAAATGTGGGGAAGACACACGGCTCCATGAAAACACACCAACGCCGTGTGCGGTGAGCGCCAACCAAACACTCGCGCTCCCCCCGAAGAGGGAAGAGAAGTTGAGGAATGACCTTAGTCCGTTTCAAAGCTGATTTACCAGCATAAAGGTGGCTTGGCCCTTTTCAATGCGTTATCACAAACGTCGACCGAAGTCGCGCATGTTAATGCTTGTTAACGTCATACAAGCCGACGACAAATCCAGTTTTAGTGAATGTAGGTCAATACGGTGTAGGAACATATTGAATATTTAAGCACTCTGGCCCTTTATAATAAGCCCTTCGTAAGCGCCACCTCTTTTGCCATACCACCGCGACTGCAGACGTGATGTTAGTGTTCTGGCATCACCACCAATTATAAGGTTAGCACGACATTTCGTCATAGAGCGCATTGTGCTCACAAGGGTAATATGGTTCTTACGTTAAATGTCATCCCGCCGTAGCTTTGAGAGCTATTGCCCGCCAGCAACCATCCACATGAGGTAAACGCATATGCTCCAACAACCATTGCAATAGGCAGATTATTATAATCAGAAAGGTTCATAATTGGCTATCGTATATTTAAATGTCAGTGTCTCCGACGTTGAGTATAATATATTACGATCAAGTTTGTCGCTTTTACCAGCAAGTTGCCTTGTTTGTTTCTTTTTTTTTTAATGTGAAAGTTGCCAGGCGAGCAAACGGTTTACCAGATATTAAGTAAATATAATAACCCATAGACATCTTCTAAACACGAGGGTTGCAGAGGCGATGACAACCTTTTGGAAATTGGGCTCCGGCCATCTCATTCAGACGAAACGCGAAAGTATTATACTTCCACTTTACCCCGGTCTCCTGTGAGGTCGTTACCCGGACAAGCCTGCCCATTCGTGCAACAGCCGAGGCTGCTGCGTGGTGTATTATAAAATCTCTTCATTCTTTTTTATACAGGTCCAGGGGTAGCGGTTGAGAGCGGGAAGACACCAGCCATAAAAATTGTTTCAGTTTCATGAAATAGAGAATAATTTGCCCGGGAAATAGAGTGATCCGAATCGATACCGTAGTCTTTACTTAATGTTGGCTCATTCCAATTCACAATGGATACTGCAACACATATTGTTTGTAACCATTTACGACTCGATAAGTGTACTAATAATTTATGATATTTAGTTAATTCTGCACCAATAATTTTTTGTTTTTAATAAGCTATAATAAAAGTCCATTTATAAGGAATTTAAATAAATTTCATACTTTAATTATCCTTTTTTGACATGACAAAATGATACATTAGCGTCCGTATCTAATACAAAACTAATTTATGACAATGATGTTATATACAAAAATTAATTCCCATTATAGAAATTAATTAGACCGTTGTACTCAAAACGGTTGCTTATCTCTCAACATACATCAGGTTTCAAAAAGTAACAATGTAGTTTTGACTATCTTAATAAACTTGTAAACCACATAAACTTCTCTAAAAACATTCCAACGGGAGCATGTTTCAATTTATTTAAGTTATCGTTCAAATCCTAGATGAGATGTGATAATAACCTTTTTGATGTAAATAAAAAGGCTAGAAACACACTAATGATCGCATTTCCATCAATGAATATTTTCAACCCTGTTTGTCCCGTCCCTGTACGCTGTAAAGGGTTCGAAACGTCGGGAATTAAAATTAAAAATAAACGCCGTATAATTAGTTTCATTTATAGTGTGTAAACGCGTTATCATATTTTCAACCAGTCAGAAATGTGGTGCCAGACGTACAAAGTATCAAAATGTAAAATAGAATGATTATTAGAAAAATTTATAATATCACATAATTTGCTCCATCAAATAATTTAATGCGAGTCCATTTTTGTCGCAACGGCAGACGAGGCATTTTAATGGCCGGCTGCGTAGGACAACTGCGCAGTTACCACGCCTCCGGGGGCGTCATTGATT